TCAGTTCAGTCTTGGATGCAGCCAAGAGCCGAGAGGATTGATGCCGCATGCTGTTGCTACTAAAGGTGTTGCTAAGGCCCAGCGCGCTGGGAAATCCCGACCCAACCTCCGGAGGTCTTTCTTTACTCTGACGGGTTTACCCAAGATCCGGATGGCGCGTGGTTTTCAGAGGCTTTTATGAGGCCAGGGCAGACGCGTGGGTGTCCCAGAGATTGTTGGCAAACATTCGGCGCCCATCCCATAAAATCCCTGGGCTCTTCTCTTGCCCTACTTTGGAGCGTGCACTTGCCCCGCCATTGTTGTCGGATGGCGAAGTCAGTCTTCTTGCTTCAGGGAGCACGTGACACATCCACGATCTCACCGGGCTGTCATTGCTCCTTCGCGAGGTTGAGCCGTCCTCTGTACCTACTGGTGCAGGCTGGCACCCATGTCATGTTGCAGGACATTGTGGGCACCCTGCCAACGGGTTGGTTGATGCCTATGCCAGGAACACATGCCGTCGATCTTTTGCTCCCTGTAAGGTTGCGAGTGAGCTTATTGATGGGCTCTTGAAGATGCGACGTTGCCCCCCCTTCTTGGCAGCTAAGGGGTCACACTGCTGCCGAGCTGGTTTCTCCGCAGGTCACCTCCCTTGCACTATGCCCAGTGACCTTACCAACAACAGGGAGTATTCTATTCTATCCGGTTCTCCGCGGCCACATTCAACGCGCAAATCTTGCGCACGCGGGAGCTGTGAGCAAGGATCACACTTTGGGCCAAGAAACGCTTGCCCTCACAGGTGTACAGATGTTCTCCTCTGCATCTACCTTTGATGTCGGCCTGCCAAGCTACAGGACAACAGGGGTGCGCCATGTTCTTCGCGACTCGTTTGGATTTTGGCAAAGTCTCTGGCAAGAGCCTTTCCCCGCAGCCAAAGCACCTACATGTAGTGCTGCCTCGGCCAGACCTGCTTGTAGCGCGTGCTCTTGCACCTCCTTTGAGCTCACAAGGCAGGCGTGGTGAGGAGGTCTGAAGACTCTCTCTTGTCTGATGCCCATATGATTCAGGGTGCGCTGCAAGCTCTCCTTATTGATGTCCCTTCTGGAGCGGAGCCGCCCAATGGGAACACGGAGTTCTTTCTAAGGCAGCACCGTCAGCAGGTCATAAGGCCCGCCTCGACTATGTTGGACTTCCTCTTGCGGCCAGGGATGTTGTGCGTAGGTCTTGACTTTTGAGGTTCCGTTGCGCAGAGAACACGCAGACCACTCTGCCTCAGCGGTGACGATGGCGTTTGCCAAATCGCTGCCGCTTGCGCCGGCTGCCAAATTCCCGGGGACGTACCCCGTGCAAGGACTCGGCAGCCATTGAACTTTGAAGCTGCGTTGCGCAGCGTGCCACCAATTGGATGGTGTGACAGCCTCGACATGCGCGCAGATGTTCTGGGCAAGCAATTGACGGGTGTGCTCAAGCCCCTATGTGAGTCAACTAAGCACCAGCCGCGAGCTTCGTACGTTACGCCGGAGGTCATGGAGCTTGTTTTGCTCAAGACACTGGTGAGGCGTGCCATGCGAGGAGGCCTACCCCTCTGTCCCTGGTCTCGCAACTCGAGCAAGCTAGCCAGATCTGCTACAGGGAAGGCCACACATATGTGGCCGGTCGCGTGTGTGAGTAGGGGCCTTGAAAGCAGGTGTGACAGGGGCTGAACCCCTTGAATGGATAGGAGTAAGGGGCGAATCCAACGACCTTTTTTCCAAGACGAAAACCCTCAGGAGTGAATCCAGCAAGTAACTTTACCGAAGACGAAAGCTGTAAGGAGTGAATCCGAGAACTTTTGGCCCAAGACGAAAACCCTAAGGAGCGAATCCTGCAGGAATCTTTTCCCGAAGACGAAAACCCTAAGGACTGAATCCAGCAGGAATTTTTTCCCGAAGACGAAAACGCTAAGGACTGAATCCAGCAAGAACCTTGTACCCAAGACGAAACCCTAAGGTGTGAATCAAGCAAGAACGTTTAACCCCAGACGACGACCCAAAGGAGTGAAACGAGCGAGAACCTTTTACCCAACACGAAAACCCTAAGGAGTGGATCGAGTTTACCCAAGACGAATGCCGCAAGTGAACCTTGCGTGACGGTTCTGGTTTTGTGCTAAATACAGCACAAAAATAGTGGTTTGGCGCCAAATACACCAGAAAAGTCAGTGGCTTGGTGCTAAAGACACGAAAAAGTTCACATTAAGATGCCTGTTTCGCAACCTTCTGCAGAGATTTGTTGTTCTTGGAGCCAAAAAAGCTACAACTCAATCATTTTGCGGAAAAAGCTGGAAAGGTACATCTAGGAAAACGTTCTACCGCCGTGGCGCGCTGTCTTCTGTTCGAATTTGCCCTCGAAGCTCCGCTTCGAGGCCAATACGATGCTGCCAGGGAGACCGAGGAGGCCCAGCCCTTGGAAGTACTCCGCCAACGCAAATGTATGTAAAATTGTACGTGATTGTATATATATATATAATATTATATATATATATATACACATGTGTCTGTATGTGTGCATACACATATAGGTATGGAGAAAGACTTATGTTGCATTGGCATTTGAGTATAATGCGGGTTATGTCTGTTTCGGATCAATGCTCCTGCATGTGCCTGCAGACAAGGGTTGAACTCACGGATTGCCCACCTGCCTTGCGGAACATGATGCAATGAATGTCAGATTCCCTGATCGTGGGGACATCTTAATTATGGCATGCTTGAACGAGCTACATATGTTTGGGATCTCCCAATTACGGCATTATTTTTCGATCGGGGGAAATATGACAACTACCGCATATAGAATATGTTTTGTCTGAGAGTTAGTCCTTTAACTTTGCCAACAAAGGAGCCACATTTACACAATAATAAAAAGATCAAGATCAACGACAGCGAGATGCAGAAGGCAACAGAAGGACAGGAACTTGTCCTTCCTGGTTGTCGCCGCTCTTCGTTTCTCTTCCATGCAAGTTAAAAGAGGCGGCTCCTTGGCTTTGTACGATTCGTTTTTGCGCCTTGGTCACCATTGTCTGCTTGGCTGGGCCACCGGCATGTGTGCTTGTTGGTTGGGTACGCTGTGTGATAAACAGTTTTGGTGTGCGCGGATTCCTTGTGCGGGTGACTGCTGCCGTGCTAGTGTCGTCCCTTACTGTTCTGCCTTGTCCGAATCTCGGCGCTGTCTGTGGCGCTGCTGTGGGTTGTCCTGGACAGGCCTGCGCCTGAGGGTTGCAGTTGGGGCTCGGTGGCAGGGTCGATAAAAAAAAGAACTTTCGGGGTGAGCCCCAGCAATGTTTGCTGCTGCTGTTGCGCCTGTCTGTGTGCCGACTCATTTGCCACTGGCCCTTTCGCATCTGTGAAGCAGACAGAGAGAGATTTCAAGAGAGAACGAGAGAGAGAGTGTCCAACCGATGGGGGACCTATCCTCCTCTATTGACCCCAATGCCTCCTCTCTGGCACCAGATGGGAAAGGGGGCGCGTAGGCACGGGTCCACTAATTGCACTTAACCCTTCCGGAAAGAAGGAAGGAAAAGGAAGGAACGAGAGAGAGTGATAGTCCTTTATGCGTAGCTACGTAGGATGTTATCTTCGGGGACAGGTGACATTTCGCTCGCGTTTCTGCGTGCCTCTTCGGCTGATGAAACGAATCACGTGCGACTTTGCACGGTCCCACAGCCCGTAGTTGCTAGCCAGAACACCCTACATCGTCTGAAGTTCGATAACATTTAATTACGATGCAGTGACAGCCTATGAAAGCACGCTGAGCATCGATTGTAGCATTTTATGCTGGCTTTGCTAATTTCTCTCCCTATCCGTAGCTGTCAAGCATTTGCACCGATGTTTTTTGACGACAGAGCCTTGATGCCTCGTGAAGCCCGAACTAGGGCCCCTCTTTCACGTCTGTTAAGTCAAGCCCTGTCAGTCCGATACCATAGCACCGGGCAGGCCCGGGCCTCGCCTCGGAGCCTGCAATGCTGCAAGCAAAAACAACTCGTTTCACGCATCATTTTGAACTCGACTGCCACAAACCTATGCAGGGCATGCCCCCCTTATGAAGTGTTCCGCAAGCAACAAAAACGCTTCACCTCAGAAACACGTTGAACCGTTTTGAAACATGAAGACAAACCAGCACAGTTGTGTTTTGAGGCTTTTGCGCTTCGCGTTTGAAGCACATACCCACATTGTAGACCTTGAAGGTCCTACGTACATAAAGAAGGGGATTCTCAGAGACTCGACTTGGCAAAGCCTGAGCGGAATCCAGGGTCTCTTTCCTTTGCCTGTGTTTCGTTTGCTGAGGAGGAGGAGGATCCAGGCACTGTCCAGTACCGGCCCGGGTACTTCGGAGACGAGGCGAAGGCACAGGGCCGCACCCGAAAATCTTGGTGCTTTCGAAACCGGAGCAGTTCGAGGCTGGTCAGAGATGCTGCGCGGCGCCCCAGATAGTAAACAGCGTCGGTTCACACGACCTCGCTTGCCTGCCGAAGATGAATTGTCTTGGAGGCTGGCCGCCGTCAATCTTCAACTTCATGGAGGCCGGTCGCCTTGGGGGCGATTTCTCTTCAGGCCTCGGCTTTTTTTGCCCCTCACGCGCTAGGCTTTTCAGAGAAGCTGAGATGCTGAGATTGGCTGAGATGGAGTGATGCCAGAAACAAAAGCCGCGGTGACGCGACGGGGCACGCCTGGGCATGCGGGCTGCCTCTGTTGATAGCACGCAAATGTGCTGTTTTTTCTGCCATGGCATCAACAAAGCCTTTGCTGCCATAGCTGCGTCCTCCTGTGAGGGTCGATCCGGAGAGAGGTCTGCCGCAAAGTGGGCAGACCGCAGGCATGCGACCAGTTGCGAGTGCGCCACAAAAAGGACCAAAAGTCAAGCACACTGCATTCCCTTTTTGAAGGACGTAGGCCTCGAGCAGGTTTGTCTTGAAAGCTGACTCTGCACCGCAACCTTTTTGGAGGGCCCTCCGAGACCCAGCTCCCTGTGCCTGTTAGCTGGCCCAGCACATGCCACCGCCGTGGCCTCCGCGGTCTGACGTTGCTGGGCTGCGGTTTGATCAAGCCGGCTCGGCATTGAGCTCTCATGCTCTGCTGCCTCTCAGGATCAGGCCCTCAGCCACCAGGTCCTGGGCGCAGAGGACGGCCAGGCGAAAGAAGCGACCGGCGCGAGCGGCATGGGCTACGTCGTCGCCGAGGCCGAGGCCGGGGCCGGGCCTCAAGCGGACGCGCCGCAAACAGCCGTCCGCCGCGCAGCCGCGGCGCTCCGCGAGGTGCCTGCAGTGCTGAAGGCACCATCTCCAGCTCCGGAGCCGATCCCGGCACGTGTCGTTCCTCATGACACGCGGCCTCTTGCTTTCAACAAGTCTCCCAGCCAGCGTCTCCAGAATCTGTGCTTGAGTGGATTCTCCCGAAGTGGAAGCAGGAGATCAGTTGACCTACCGTGTCCCTTGTAGCTTATCTCAGGTTGCTTGGGACCCTCTACAGAGCCCAAGCCCCATGGTCAAAGCGTATGGGCTTAGCCGCCTTGGCCCTTGCCAGGTTCGGACAGCTGCTCGAGAGAGTCTTGTCTGCCAATGGGCGGGTCCGTTTCTGGTCGGGCCGGGTTTACATTTGGGCTGTTAAAAAGGGTCCCAAAAGGGTTGGTAAGAGGATTTCTCTTGGGAGCTTTGATTGTCTTAGTGTGACGTTCTTGATTCCATACGGTTCTTCAGAGGGCTTTGCAAGGCGTCTGGGGTTCTCAAGAGAAGGGTTGTTTCGGAGGTGCTCGCAGCTCTTCACGTTGAAATCTGAAGATCCCCAATCCCCCACAAATATCCCCCACAAATTGTCTCAAGCTCCCAAGTCGCCAGCCAAGAATTTCGGGACTGCGAGATCAGGGAAGGCGGCAAGATGCAAGATGTGATCTTAGACAAGTTCTTCGAAGCTCCTCGTCCGGCGGTAATAATGGCAGCCTTTGTTCCATACGGAAGAAAGACGAAAGCCAAGCTCGGAAACCCTGAAGCCCAGGCTTGCGAGCTCTACAGCGCCTTGTCTCGAGCACCTGATGTAAGGCCTGTAAGGCTCTTTAGCACGACCGGGGAGGGAACTGTGAGGTGCTGAAAACGTACATAAGCTGATCGTGCTATGGCCTCAGGAGATATGCTGTCCAAGCTCGGTCGAGCGGCAAGCGTGGTCGTGGGCGACATCGAGCACAACCTCGGCAAATCCAAAGCTGGGAGCCTCTTTAGAGAGACGCAACAAAAAGCCCCAGCGGAGCTTGGGAGCGGCACTCCGACCGAGGCGGTTTACCTGGAAGCTCCAGAGGAGCGCAAGACTTTCACCGCCTACTTGCCGCAACCCCAAGAGAGACCGCGCCGCCGCGCCGCACCCCTCGTAGCCCGGAGCCGGAAAAAAACCCAGGCAGCTGCCGGCTTCTCACCTGGGCATCGAGAAGATCACGTGGCTGCTCAGGCGCGCCGGGCGCGCCCAGAGCCGGAGCCCAGCCGCCAGAAGCGTCCGTGTGACCTTCGCCTTGAGCTGCAGGGGCGTGGAGTTTTTCTTGACCATGATCAAGCTGATTTTCACCCCGGAGTCTGGTGGAAACCCGGCCGTGGAGGCCGCTTGCAGTGACGGCGGAGGCCTCGCCTCGCGGGCCGCTGCATGCCGAGGCCTATCAGCAGACCTTGATGCAATACCACGGCTGGGCCCCGGCCCTGGTGCAGTTCTCTCTTCTCTCTCTTTCGCCTTTCCGGTCTATCCGCTGAGATGCTTCAGCAGACCGTGAAGCTTGGCATGCGGGCCATGCCCTCGAAGGAGGGCATCGTGCAGTCCGAGGGCCTCGTGCTAGGCCCCACGGGCGGAAACCCCCTTAAAGCTCTGCGGCTCGCAGCTGCGCCTGCGCCTCGCCGCAGGCGACGGCGATGCCTCGCCGGAGCAGAGGAAGGCGCTCTGCGAGCGCGACGCGCCGCCGGCCTCCGCTGCCGGCATCGAAGTGCCGCCCGGCCAAGACAGCGGAAGTGCGGTCTCTCTCTACGCTCTCTTTGCCATGTGGAGCGAACTAAGGGTCAAGTGGATGATTGAGCTGATGAAGATCGAGGGGAAATGGGACGCCAAGAAAGCTTGAGCTTCCGCCGTCAATGATCTACTCGTGTCACAGTTCTGCAGGTGTCAGGATGTGGCCGTGGCTAGCTCTTAACAAGTCGAGGAAGGGTTGCCAGATGGTGGATTCAGACTATACTAGACACTAGACTGTGCCTGCATCGTGTTTTGCGCTGCGCTCTGCGATGCACACCTGCCCCCTCTTTTTAACTCGCGCAAGTCTCACCAAACGCCAGCGTGGTGTTGACCTGGAGCAGCTTTTTTGGCACCCGCCGGCCTCCAGGACAACATGTGGACGGCACTCCAGCTGTTACATGACAGCCACACGCCGCACGCCAGCTCCGCCAAAAAAGCCTGCGCGCAGGCAAGTAAGAGGCACATCTCCGCATAGCAATACGATCGTCAGAAAGAGCACATTTGGTCCAGGCTGGTGTCTTCAATTTCCACAGAGTCCAACCAAGACGTGCATGGACTTGCTTGGCACCGAAGTAACTGCGCCTCAACCTTTCTTGCTTTGCAGACTTTGAGCCCCAATGCGAAGTTTGCTTTACCTTCAGGTTTGAGAGAGAGAGAGAGAGAGAGAGAGAGAGAATGGTGGGCTTTCGTAGCTGACTTCGTCAAAGCCTGTGGAAGGTCTTGTTGCTGTGCGCAAGTGGCTCTGTCGCTCCCGGCTCTTGAAGCCTTTCTTTGAGCTCCGTGGAAGACGCAGCAAAGTTTCCCAGAGATGCGACACCCAAAGTGCAAGCTCCCTGCAGCACGTATTGTCAGAGACACCTCGAAAGTTCATTTTTCGAACAAGCAAGTTGTGTGTAAACTTGACAGAAACCTGTAGCATGTTGCATGGAAGGCATATCGGGTTTCCAAGTTGAGGCGAGACCGCGCTTCGCCCCCTCCCCGTTTACATTGGCAGATGGAGGAAGATTGAGAGCTTTCTTGTCTGATGGGACAGGCTGGCAAAGATGCGAGTTTGTCATGGGCCTCGGCCTCAAAGAGCACAGGCATCCACGTGTTCTGGGAGAGCTCGACACTTCCTAGGTTGGCAGGAGAAGCAGTTGACGTCGAAGACGCCGAATACCGCAAGCCCCTGGACTTGGTCAGGCGCGGCGAGAGCGAACGTGGCAGGGGCGCAAGCCGCGCAGAGGGCGGTTGCGAAGTGCTGTGGGGGTGCGGCGGTCACCGTTGTGCTTAGCCGTCTCCTCCCTCTCTCCTCTCTCTCTCCTCCCTCTCTCCTCTCTCTCTCCTCTCTCTCCTCTCCTCTCTCTCTCTCACACTCTCTCTCTCTCTCTCGTCTTCCGCGCCCTGCGCCCGGGCGGAGGCAGCTGGCCCGGGAGCGCTGGCACCTCCTCTCCGAGGCCGAGTCCAGCCGCATGCGCTCGCTTGCGTCTCTCTCTGCCTTCTCTCGGTTTCCCTTGTTTGGTCCAAAGCTGTGTGCAGCTGTGTCCTTGTCCTCCTCGAGGACCTGATCGTTCTCACCTGCGGCGGAGGGACCTTGAGCACGCGGCCGAGCCGCCGCCACGCCGCCCCACGCCTTGCTTCTGAGCCTCCTTCAGGTGATCACTCGCGCAGCGAGGCAAAGGATCAGCTGTGCTTCAGTGCTGCAAAGGCTTGGTTGGGTGGGGGGGGCGCCCTCCGCCCTTCGCCTCAGGATGTGAGCGGCGATGTGTTTTTCTTTCTGCAGAAATGCCTGGAGTCAGAGGCCGGAGAACTGCCGCGCCCCAGCCGCGGCTCGGCGTCGTGGTGTTTTGCCTGTCCTTTCAGGTCGACGTCGTGCCAGCGAGGCTGGATCCTGCTGATCCAACTTTGGCGGCATTTGGTGGCGGCGAGGACCTTCTCGCCGGCAAAGGGACTGAAGACCGCAGAAAAAACTCTCACAAGCCCAGCCTTTTTGGCTTGCGGATTGTGGCCCGAAGAGCTAAGGTTCGTGGACCCTCGCTTTTCTTGTTGCGGGATCTTTGAGATCTACCGTGGCCGGCATTCCTGCTAGAAATGCGGATTTCTCGTGACTCTCGTGCAATCCGCACATCACTGGTGCACGGGGCCTTCTTGTTCCCACCCGCTTTCGCATTTCGGGTTTCTCGTGCAACTCGTGCTTCTCTGCCGGAGTCTTCCTCCGGTCCAAGACACTATCTTCTCGCTTTCATTCTCTACACGAGATTTTGTGGCAACTGTTGAGGTGCACTGCAAGCTTCGGTTCCACTTGGCAGGCTTTTTGGTCGTGAGTCAGCTTGATTGCGCTTGGTTTGGCCGGGCCTGCATCGCAATGAGAATCTGCAAAGTCACGTAGCTCTGGCTTCCATACATTCGGTTCAAGCCGTGAGAGGAGCTAGACGAAGTGGTTGGTCAGCGATGTGTAGACGTGGGGAGCTCGGTCCCCTTCCGCAGCTCCTCTCCGAGCGCCGCCTTGCCAGGTCATCGATCCCGCGTTTGAGGCCTTCCGCGGCAACATTGCCGAGGCCGGCGAGCGGCGAGCCCTGGAAGCTGCTGTGCTGTGCGGTGCACCGGGCCCCTGAGGCGCGAGCCCGAATCGCGGAGTCCAGACCGGCCGCAGCCTCGGAGCCCAACGGAGACAGCAAGTCCTGTGCCGCGGAATTCGAAGACGTTTCGGCTTTCGTCTCCGCAGGTCGCGGCATTGGCCCTGCGTTGTGAAGAGCGGGTGGCCGTGCAGCGCCTCGCAGCTCGGGCCGCGGCCCCGGTCGCCGCGAAGCGCCGGTAGCGGCACGACGTCGTCACGCTCCGCTTTGCGCGCTACTCCCCTTTGGTCGGAGCGCTCAAGTCCACCGCAGCAGAGGCTGTGCTGGACAACCTGACGAGCCACCGCTCTGCGCGCGACCCTTGGAGCCCCGAAACACCGCCTTCGACTTCGAGGGGAGAAGCGAAGCTGTCGCGAGAGGTGCAGTCGTTCCATGTCCCTGCTCGCGCAGAAATCCAGTCGGGTGCGGCCGCCTTGGCACTTGGGCTCCACGGCCAGAGGAGCCGCGTCCTTTTTGCCAGGTCCAGACAAAGCTGAGCGACAGCTTGGACAAGGCCAGGCTATAGCAGTCCCCAAGCCTTCAAGATTTCATTTGACGCCAGGTGGAGGTGTCCATGAAGGCTTTGGAATCTGAGCGTGCCTTAGTCCCCGAAGCCAGCGCCCTCGATGCCAAACCTGACCCTGCGTTGCACAAGGTTGGCCTTCATGCGGCCTTGCAAACGCAGGGCCGTGCAGCCGTCTGTGATTTCGGCTTGAAACTGCCACACCTGTTCGTTTTAGTTGCCTTCGCGGCCAGGCACTACGTTAGCAGACGTGATGCCGCGCGAGCGGTGCGCCGGTGCTGAGCCTTCTTTCAGCTCGGTTTTCTCTTGAACTCGCCAGGATCCGGCGCTTCACGGAAGCGCTCGAGGCGACGTCTAGCCGCCTCATAAACCCCAAAGAGCCCACATGAGCAATATCACATGAGTCTTCCGCAGGCGGAGAGGGCCCAGCTGATCCAGAGACTGGAAAAACTCCAGCGTCAGGCTGCCATGGCAACCCCGTGCTCCAAAGTGCTTCTTCTCCACGAGATGCGAATCACGCAGTGCTTGCTACAGCACTGCGCCCATTCGATTCCAGGTATTCGATAAATCGATTCGATAAAGAGCCCTGTGGGTCTGTCGTCGTGCTCAGAGGCTGAGTCTTCTGCAGGACGGCCAATTGCAGGCTCTTTGCGATCAAGTGGCAGAGCGCGCATGCTGCTCAGACGTGAGATGTCGCAATTTCGTCGGCTTGAGAAGAAGTGCCGACTCAAGGTGGAGCAGTTAATTCTGGAAGACAGCGCGTGTGCCCAAGACCCTCCGCTTTTGCGGCACCTTTGTGATGTCCTGTTGATGAAACCGTGGCAGAGAGAGCCTGTTGCACCGAGAGTCCTCACGAGTTTAGACGAAGTTCTCCCTGGCCCACCCGCTTCTGAGCCCAACGCTTGCAACGACAAGCAGCTAAACTAAACTCTAACTTGCTGTATCTTGTTCTCATCGTCATCAGATCTATACCATGACCTCACGAAAGGTTGGTGTTGAAGCCAAAGCGATACTGGAGGAACAGGCGCGGGCTGCTGGGCTGTCGGCCTTGTTCGGGAGCTCTGGGTTTCGCTCACCACAGGGCCGTGCGCAGCGCGAGTTTCTGCCGGAGCTACGAGCACTGGCACGAAGCCCAGCAAAGCGCGAATCGCCTCCGAACCATGGAGATCCTCATTCGAATGCGGGTTTGCCAGGTTCCATCTGCGGGCGCAGCGCCTTCGACAGTGTTAGAGGAACGCCAGATACTGATATGATAGCAGTGCAGGCCTAAATCTATAAGAGAAGAACATCAGTATGTTTATGATGCGTCAATGATAATTCTAGGGGCTGCGCCTACCGGCGGGCAGCGCAGGTAGAAGCCTGGAGCAAGGCTAAGCCACCCACCCACCCACCCCTCGCCAAACCCCGCTGATGCTGATGATGCGCGCGCTTCGGGGGCCGAACCCCGCTGATGCTCATGATGCGCGCCCTTTAGTTGCTGCCCATGGCTACTTCAAAATTGCGCAAAAAACTCGAAATTAGGTGTCGGCGGCACTGGCGGTCGCGCCATTTCTTAAAGCACGTGCGGGCAGCACAGGTAGAAGCCTGGAGCAAGGCCACGCGCCCGGCTGATGCTGATGACGCGCGCCTTTTGGGGGGTTCCGCAACCCATTCAAGAACTTGCAAAACATCGCCTCGCGCTGCCTGGGCCGTTGCGCCCCCGAGTGCTCATGATGCTCGCCGGCTGCAAACGAGGTCCGGCGCGGCCCGGTGGAAAAACAAGGGTCCGATGCACCAGGGTCAGCGGCACTGGCGGTCGCGCCTTTAAGCAAAGCTAGCAAGCTACGTCTCGCCTGAGGCTCGGGCCCACAAGGCGCAGGCGCTCGGTCATGGGACCGAGCGCTGCCCGATTTAAGCACTGGTGCCGTTACCGCCGACCCCGCTGAAGCAGGGGCAGCACGACTCACTTTCCCGTTGACGCCGCTGTCTGGGTAGCTGGCATCGAAAGCGCGC